AGTATGTCAGACGAAGCCCCAGAATCCTTGCCTCCAAGGAGTAGCTTGGTTTAATCCTCTCCAAGATAAATAGAAGATTAAATTGTAACCATAATTCTTCAGATTCCTATCTTACCAGTAAAACCATAGATAAGTGAACTTATCTGTACTTTTGCAGTCTTGTGCTTTCCATTGATAAGATGCTTCTGGGCCGTTGACTGTAACTTACAGATTCTGACCAATCTATACCCAGACTATGCTGAATACTACATAAAACTGACTGCAGCCCCAAAGTTCTACAAGGAACCTCCTCTAACTCCTCCTTCTGGAGTCACTGTCAAGATTGTTCTTCCCTTGTTCACTTTAGACAGTTGGTCCGCACTATGACAGAAAAATAGATATCTTTGAGTTGTGGTGCTGGAGAAAAGTCTAGAACATACCACAGATTTCCTAGAAAACAAATAGGTCTGCCTTGGAGAGGGTGAAACCAAGTTTCTCCTTGGAGGCTAGGATTTTGAAGTTCTGTCTCACATATTTTGAGCATGTGGCCTAGAGGGACTGATTCTTAGAGAAGGACATCATGCTTGGAAAGGTGGAGGGACATGGCAGGAGAGGAAGACCTGGATGAGAAAGATTGATACAAGTAACTAGGGCAATGGAGGTAGCTGTGTCAGAGTTAGTGAGACTGGCTCAGGACAGGGCAGGCTTCAGCGCTGCTGTACATAGGGTTCCTATGAGTTGCGGGAGACTCAACAGCACATAGCAACAACTGTCAAAGATTCTATCTGTAAATCTGCCTACTTGCTAAAATGTATTTGTAGCTCCAAACTCAGTATTTGTGGACATTCATGGATGCACCAAGAGTTGCAAAAAATCTTGAGCCTCTGAGGCACACATTCCCAACTGAGAGTAAACAAGGCAAGATGCTCTTCTTGTTTCAGCTCTCATATTGTAAACAAATGTCCTCTTGATGGTGTTTTTAATGTCCTTCTTTCTTTTGGTTGTTGTTGTTGGTGGTGGTGATTTTACTGTTTAAAATTACTCTCAAGTGGTGTACTTTCTAGCGTTCCTGACACAGGCTGTTGTTGTTGTTATGTGCCATCAAGTCATTTGCGACTTATAGAGACCCTATGCACAACAGCCCTAAACCCTGCTTTATCCTGCACCAACTGCACTGCCTCTGACACACCCATCCTGACTACCCCAGTCACTGAATCAATCCATCTCATAGAGGGTCTTCCCCTCCTGCGCCGTCCCTCCACCCTCCCAAGCATGATGTCCCTCTCCAAAGACCCATCCCTCCTGGCAACATGTCCAAAGTATGTCAGACGAAGCCCCAGAATCCTTGCCTCCAAGGAGTAGCTTGGTTTAATCCTCTCCAAGATGAATCTGTTTGTTTTCCTGGCAGTCCATGGTACATTCAGTACTCTTCTCCAGCACCACAGCTCAAAGGCATCCACTCTCCTTCTGTCCTCCCTAGTCGTTGTCCAATTCTCTGATGCATAACAAGCGATTGCAAATGCCATGGCCTGTATCAGGCGCACCTTAGTCTCCAGAGAGACACTGTTGCTCCTGAGTACTTTAGAGAGGTCCCTAACAGCAGACTTTCCCATTGAGATACGCTTTTTGATTTCCTGACTGCTGGTGCCAAGAGTGTTGACTGTGGAGCCGAGCAAACTGAGGCTGAGACATGTTTTATAGAGGAAATCCATGTGTTAGATAAACTTCATTTAGGCTTGACATTGGTCCCAATGAATTGACAGTGAAGTATCTTTAGATAGACTGCAAGGGAGTCTATGGACATGGTTTTGAGCCCTTGTGTTTTCCCCAGAAGCAGTGGTTTCATGTTCCCTAACTTAATGTTCATAGCAATGCTATAGAATATAATTACATTGTATATAATAAGAATTAGCCATATAATAATAAACCTAGCTACAAAAACTCCTAAAGAGTTTACCAACGCTTTCTCCTGCTTATACCATTATCTTTTTGTTCACCCAGCACATACCAACTTTTGATTCAGGCATCATTTGAGTATCACTGTGAAGTTTAAAAAAGCAGAGCTCTGGTGGCTTCTTCTTGTTGTTGACTATCATGGAGTGGAGCATGAATCGTAGCAACCCTATGAACAAAAGGCCTGAAGCCTTTCTGTAACCATCAACATTTATCTAAGTTCATAGTTTCTAGAGGCATGTTGTTTAGGAAGTAGATGCCACTCCTGCTTCCAACTGATGGTTTAGTGGTAAGGAATTTCGCTGCTAACCCAAAAGCATGCAGTTCCAATTCACCAACTGCTCCAAGGGAGAAGGGTAGTCTCCTTCTGTGCAATTTACAGCCTCTATAAACTCACTGCAGGGTCAGCTTACGAGTCTGTTCTGACTCAAAGGCACATAACAGTAGAAACAACATGTGAAATCAAATGTGATTTCCTTCTCACCTCATTACTCAGAGCTGTTATTTATGCCATCCTTTGAGCACCTTGAGCACATGGTTCAGATTTCTGTTGGATTTTTTTCTCACATTTTTATTCTCTCATTTATGTCTGCCTACTCCTTTTCATCCCCAAAGACGAATTTGCTTAAGCAAGAACAGTTTTATGCAACTGAATAAATAATTTCGAATAGACACTGAATAAAAGTTACCCAGATTCATTATTAGTTATAACTATGACATGAGCTTTAAGGAATATATGTGTTAGCTATTCTTCCTGAGCCATTATATGAATGATGCAGCCTCCTACTGAATAATTTTCCACACACTCATTGCTTTTTTGGAGAGAAAAGTATGCATCACCTGTTACTGTGACAAAAGATTACAGGGATATAGATGATAAACATAGTTTGCAATTTCTATTTACAAAGAAGAAAATCAACCTCATTAAATATTTTCTAATTTGAAAAAGGTTTTTCATAACGGGATTCGGGCGGCGGGGCGGGTCGCAGTCCGCAAGCCGGCTGGGTTGGCGGGGTCGGAAGTCGCGGGCGGGAGCCTGGCCGTGACACACGCACCATGCCTTACTTGCTCATCAGCACCCAGATCCGCATGGAGGTGGGCCCCACCATGGTGGGTGATGAGCACTCAGATCCAGAGCTGATGCGGCAGCTGGGGGCTTCAAAGAGAAGTGTCCTGGGAAACAACTTCTGTGAGTATTACGTTAATGACCCTCCACGCATAGTGCTGGACAAGCTGGAACGCCAGGGCTTCCGTGTGTTGAGCATGACAGGGGTGGGCCAGACGCTGGTGTGGTGCCTGCACAAGGAGTTAAAATAATATTATTTAAAACAAAAAGAAGGTTTTTCATAATTACGAGGATACATGAGTTAGCTTTGGATGCTGTATGCATGTTTCAGAAATGTATGAGCATTTATCTCTCTTTTTCAGTGCTGGTGTTAAGAGTGTTGATTGTGGATAGGAGCAAGCTGTAATTGCTAACAACCTCAATCTTTTCTCCACCTATCATGGTGCTGCCAATTGTCCCAGTGGTGAAAATCTTTGTCTTCTTGATGTTAAGCTTCAATCCATATTGAAACTACAGTCCTTAACCTTTTGCAGCAAGTGCTTCAGATCTTCTTAAGTTTCAACAAGCAAGGTTGTGTCATCTGCATATCGTAATTTGTTAATGAGTCTTCCTCCAATCTTGGTGCCACATGCTTCCTCCTAAAGCCCTGCTTCCTGAACGATCTATTCTGCATACAGATTGAAAAGGTACGGGGCAGGATGCATCCTTGACACATTCCTTTCCTGATTTTGAACCATGCACTGTTTCCTTGCTCTGTTCTGAGGACTGCTTCTTGGTCCAAGTATAGGTTTCAAATAAGCACAATCAATGAAACATAGACAGACATTCCTCTGGTCCTCTCTGCTTTCAGCCAAGATACATCTAACATTAGTTATCATATCCCTAGTGCCACGACCTCTTCGAAATCCAGCCTGCACTTCAGGCAGTCCTCTGTTGATGTGCTGTTCAAGTCTTTTCTGGATAAACTTCAGCAGGACTTTATTAGTGTGTGACATTAGTGATATTGTTTAGTAATTTCCACACTCTGTCAGGCCACCTTTTTCTGGGATGGGAATTACAGATCAAATGACAGTCTCCAAGCCATGGTCTTCTCAATTAATTTCAACATAGCAGAAAGCTGGACAATGACTAGGAATGATAGGAGAACTGATGCGTTTGAGATGTGGTGCAGGAGTATTGAATATATCATAGACTGCTAAGAAAACAAACAAATTTGTCCTGGATAAGGTGAAACCAGGCTGCTCCTTGGAGGCAAGGATTCTGAAGCTTCATCTGACATACTCTGGGTATGTTGTGAGGAGGGACAAGCCCTTGGAGAGAGACATCATACTTAGGAGGGCGGAGGGACCGCACAAGAGAGGAAGACCTTCAACGAGATAGATTGACTCAGTAACTGGGGTAATGGGCTTGGCTGGGTCAGAGATGAAAAGGTAGAGACAGGATAGAGCAGAGCTCAGAGCTGTTGTACACAGGGTCGCTATCAGTGTCAAGTGGCTAGACAGCACATAGCAGCACAACAAAAACAATCCTAATTTTTGTCCAACTTCCCCAGAGGTGTCCAATGTTACTAGGTAGGCATTCTTCCATATTATTTCCATACATAGTAAAAATAGTACTGTTTTGTTTATATGTTTGGTATTACTTAGTCATTAGTGTCTTTAGATTTTAAAAAATATGGTTTTATATATGGAATATCAATGACCAAGATGCTACAAAAGATGCTCCTTTCCTTGACTTTGCTACCTGTTGTTGTTGTTATATGTGTTGTCGTGTCGCTTGTGACTCATAGCGACCCTATGTACAACAGCCCTAAACCCTGCTCTGTCCTGTGCCAATTACACTGCCTCTGGCACATCCATCCCTATTACCCCAGTCACTGAATCAATCCACTTCATAGAGGGTCTTCCCCTCTTGTGCCGTCCCTCCACCCTCCTAAGTAGGATGTCCCTCTCTAAGGACCTGTCCCTCCTTACAACATGTCCAAAGTATGTCAGATGAAGCCCCAGAATCCTTGCCTCCAAGGAGCAGCCTGGTTTAACCCTCTCAAGGATGGATCTGTTTATTTTCATGGCAGTCCA